GAGGGTGAGAAATAGAGAAAAAAAAAAAATATATATATATATATACACACATACATTATATATATATATATATATATATATATATATATATATACACACATCATATATCTATATCTATCTATCTGAATCCAGATAGACAGACAGATTTAAGAAACAAGAAATGAAAAATTTTTTGTTGACGATAACATGTATGACTAAGCCACTATACAGTGTATTCTGGATGAGAAATTGCATTTTGTATACTGTGATGTTCAGTGAATGAATGTAAAATAAATACATTTTTTTAAATAATAAATAGCAACAAATAAATAAACACCATGAAAATCAAGTGGAAAAGGTGGAGGGTTTGTTATGGATTCAAAGAGACATTAAGAGGTGTAAAAACATTTGCAATGTGCAAATCCAGTCCAGTTCAGTTCCAGATTGACTGAATCCTGGCTGTGAGAGGAGTGGGGGAGGGAGCGGTCATAAATCACATGGGACAACTGAGAAAACCTAAGTCTATATGCGATACGGAGTTGACACTTACTCTTAGGTGTGCTAATGGTGTTGCGATTACACAGAAAACGCCCTCCTCTGTTGGAGACATATGTTCAGGTATTTAGCTATGAAGGGGCATGAGGCTTGCAACTTTCTTCTTTGAGATTCAGCTAAAAAAGGATGACTGCTTGTTGGCTGCTGGATGGATAGAGAGCTAGCTAAACAGAGAAGTAAAGTGTATTGGCAAAATATTAACCACTGGTGACTCGAGGTGAAGGGTATGTGGGTGTTCTTTATACAGCTCTTCCAATATGTCTGCAGTCTGAAAAAGTCAAAAAGGAAAAGCTTGGAAGAGTATTCCCCGAGAAAAGTCTCCAAGGCAAAATACGTGATCGTTTCAACCTACAAGAAGGCTGAGGCATAATAAATGAAATAAAAGTAATTTATTTGAACCAGGGAGTAAGAAAAGTCACCCCGGTGACACAGACTCCTGACTGCCCAGAAATGTGCTGCCCTAAACAGTGTCATCCCCCCTCTTCTTGAAAGAACCCTACTCTTTGTTATTTAAACCAGTTCTTAGTCATTGTTGTGGGATGACGGCCATGCTGCAATTCCTGCTCCTTCATTTTCCTCCGGAGATTTTGGGCGCACACACACACACACACACACACTCGCACCAAGTATGATTTTCAAGCCACCAGGTCAGGATTCAAACTGTGGTCAGCCATGTGGGATCCAGTACCTTAACCACCATGCCTCCTGCTGGCCCCGATGCCTTACATCATGAGCTCAAGAACACTGAGGTAAAGAAACGGCAGGGATCACATTATAAATGTATAACCCTTTGTAGTATCATAGTTTACCGCAGATTAGAACATTCTGGGCAATAACCCTGATGAGTTAACAAAATTTGGGCCCATGCTTTACTCGGGCCCTTGAATTCCACAAACTTCCCAGAGCTACTTTTCTTTCTCAAGAACAAGGAAGCAAGCCCTTAAAAAATTAATAATAGGCAGCACTTAAGTAACTGTACTAACTTTAAATGATTCTTTGTGTTGAAAAGAAGAGGTGGAAGAGAAGGGGAAGGGTAGGACGAGGGATTGTGTAATTCATACAGGAAGCAAGCCAAGAAGAATGCATCCTTCAGTGAGCCGGAGAGACACTCGACAGGACAAACCACGCACTTAAAACTTTCTTTAGAATCACAAGGCTGCTCTTAGATCTTTTTTTTTTGGAGAGCTTTTTCACTATAGGGCGCGTGAGCTCGCCAGACAGACAGAGAGAGACATAGAGACAGAAAGCGAGAAATCACCCCCCAGGGGGGATGGTCACACCACAATCCCTTCTCCTCCATTCTCCTCTCGGGATCTTGTGCACGCACGCACATGCGCCCGGCGTGAGTTTTAAGCCACCGGGTCTGGGACGCGAACCACAGTAGACTACATGGGAGTCCAGCAACATAGCCATTACACTAACTGCTGGTTCCCAGGGTTCTCTTAGATCTTAATCATAGGGGACCAGCAGTTAGCATAATGGCTATGTCACTGGACTCCCATGTAGTGGACCACATTTTGAGTCCTGGACCCGGTGGCTTAAACTCACCCTGGAGGGTGATTTCTCACTGTCTCTCTGTCTCTCTGTCTTTCTGGTGAGTATACGCAGTCTATAGCAAAACCCTCTTAAAAAT